CCATAGGCACCTTAAGCCTACACCCAAGTCTAACAAGTTTCTACATGTGAACAAAGTTCTCTATAAATAAGCTGCTGCTTTTATCTAGAGCAAAGAGACACATCTCTACCACCTCAAGACTTGCTGCTGTGTCGCTGACTCCTCTCTCTGACGTCTCTGTGGAGCGATGGCATTTCCTCACAGGATCAGGAGTTGTCAACACAGTGATAAGATTCTTCCAATAATGGAGTCCAACTCTGGAGACCCCCCACTGAGTCAAGCACAGACTGTGTCAGACACCAAGGGGGTGGGTCGGCCCTGCACACTGGGGTGGGGGGACTCGCTGCGAAAGACTCAGAGGGACGCCGGGAATAGGGATCGACCCACGACACTTGTGCCATGAGAGATGAAGGAGAAGGGAGGGTTGTGTGTGTGAAAGACAGACCACGTGTGACTGAATGTGAGAGAAACAGTGAGAGATACTGTAGCTTGAAAGAGATCCAAGCGTATTGGATGCAGGTAAAATCCACATGCGCTTGCCGTCGTGACTCGCTTATCTAAAAGTCTATTGTGATTGGATACGGCCAGAATGTGTGTTGGATGTATGTGGGAAGCAGAGACAGAAGGGTGCACAGATGGAGGAGAGACAGAGGAATGGTCAAATTGATAAACAAATTCACAGCACACAACTACTCAATGCTGACATTATGTTGAATACATTTTGCAACAAATGCTTGTAATACTTCAAGGGCGATGAGTGTTCGTTACGTGCTTTCCAACTGTGCATGACCTTTAAAGGTGCGAATACGTGCCCAATGACTGGACAGTGAGTGTAATGCCCATTAGCTGCTTGCTCATGCCCACATGTCAAATTTGGACATTGCAAAGTGATGATAAAGGAACAAAGCTGCTTTGAATACTATTAGAGAGCAATCACCCCAGACACATCTTAAAGGGCGGATAATAACGAACCACCCTTCATCTCTCTGCTGAAGTCTCCAAAGAAGAGCAACCTAGTGTGATTTTTGTGTTGTTGTTGCTAGGATACCACAAGGTCAGCTGACAAGTAACACAGTAGCTACAGGTGACTTATCGTGTCAAACTGTGAGCATGATTAGACAGTACAGAAAAAATATAGTTGTAGTAGTTGCCACAAACTTTATATAGTCTTGCTTGGTTAGTAAAGAAAAATAAAAAAAACAGGACAACAAGAGCACAGTTGCACCAGAAATTAGGAAGCTGGTGTGTGAATGATCTTCCAATAATAGCTGGGTGACAATACTTTGTGGATGCATTACAATGAGCAACATTTTTAATCCTATACATAGTAATTTAATGGTTATTAAATCACAATGATTAGAGCAGCTTTATGGTAAAAACACAGAATAATCACTGTACTCCTCTAGTTAGAAAACTACTGTTTCTGTGATACTTCCTGTTGTGATGAAGCATCCCTTGAAAAATGTTTGACTTTGGCACTTGACTTTAGTTAGAATGCTGGCCCAGCTTCACAGAGCAGAGAGGTGAGATGGCAAATGGATTTAGTTCCATTTTTCTTTTATGAGCTCTGGGACCATCCATTATTGAACTCTGAGGGACATCAGCTGAGTCAACATTCAGCCCTCTGGACAGCATGTTGCACATGCAATGAACCAAAACTGCAACTTAAGCATCAACGATCCCACCAACCCCCACTGATTAAAAAACAAAAAGCCCTTCTCCAGTCATGTTCGGGGCTGCTGAAACAGTGAGACTGAAAGCCTCTTTCCCTCTTCACTTAATTTCAGGATTTTAATTAATTCTATTTATTTCACTGTTTTACTTGGAAAGTAAAATCTTGTATTTTATAGATATTTGTTTCTCATATGAAATCCCACCTTTAATATTCCCACATCAATTTTAAGGTCGTATATCTCATGAATTTGATATTTTATTAGTTTTTCAATATTGTTCTGAATTGACAACATCTGAAATCCAATTTCAGTATAGCATACGGACTAATAGATAAAAGGTCAGCACTTTGCCACTGCAGAACTCTCTCTTTTAACCTTACTGGCTTGCTATTAGTATAAACTCCTGCTGTGTCTATGTCTGAAGCAGACAGCTAACACAAAGAGCAGAGCACAGGATCTTATGAAATATCGCAGAAGGACCTGTTTATGACCGGTTCACCAGCCTGAAGCCTGAAGAGATTTTTTATTTTAAATTAAGTCAAGCTGTTTTCTGTTTGTCGTGGCCGTACATATTGAGAGGCTGTTTCAGGAATCAAACCTACAATAAAGTGGAATTGTGTTGAGTGTTTCTTTAGCATGCGTTGGGGTAGAGCTGACTTCATTCAAGCTCTGCATATGAATGATTAGTGACTGTAGCTTTGAATTCAGATCACAGTTTTTTTCTCTTTGACAGAAACCATTACAAATTTTAATTTCGAGGTGGTACCATTGTTAAACTGTTCCCGTCTTTGATGTTCCTGTTCAGTGTTTTACTCAAGCCTGACAGAACTATGAGATCAGGTTAGAACGTTTCCCACAGCTCTGTCTCTGACGTAAACTAGGGTGACGTTTGTAGGTGCTAAAACTCTCCTTACAGAACGCTGGTCATAAATTCCTTTTTCTCCCCTCTCCACAGAAACCCGTTCTTTGTTCTGGTGAGACAAGTGATAAAAGATGAAGAGGACATGGGAGCTAGAATCAATGTTGTCAAATGCACCGACTGATGTTGGTGTGGTTGAGAGGGCAGAATGTAGAATAAAAGTGAAAGACAAATGGAAAAAGGGCTTATTTCTTCAAAGGTGTTCATCATCACTCTAGTGGTTTCCCATCCTGCCCTAGGAGTCACTGGGCAGTAGCCATGCGTACAGTACTAGGGCCTACTTTCCATTTTTTATCCACTGGAGAGTGTAGGTGGAAGGAGGTGAAAAAATATAAAGTTCAAAGACAAACTGTCAGCAAGCATAAAAGAATTATTGTTAAAGATAAATAAATGGTAAAAGCAGGAAGAACAGTGACAAACAAGATGTGGCGAGGTGAGAAACAGGTTAAATTTATGAATAATCCTTATTAATCTTGTAGAAACACGGGAAACAATTTGAGAGTGAACATGTAAATGCCCCACAAATGATCCACCAGACCAATTAGTGTGATTTGGAGAAGGCATGAACAATAACAATAAGGTGAGGCATTACTTCTTCATTGAGTTATTTCTGAGATATGGCGTTTACCGCATGAAGAAATCAATAGTGAGTTGCATTCATCCAAATATGACCCAGAGTTTGAGACAGTCAGAAACAAAAACAAAAAACAGAACTATTGTAAATATTCAAATACAAGGCGGTATTCAAATAACGCACACGTCTTATTTAACAGTTATGTTTATAATGAACACATAAAAGCTGGTCCGGGACTGTGATGGTTAATTAATCATAATGTACATTTTTACAACACTAATCAGCACAACATTGAATTATGTCCCACTAACCAATCTGCTATTAAAAATTCTGTGCTCACTCTCAAAATTCCTTTTAATCGGTCTAAAGATATTGTCAATAAAAGTCAACACTTCCTGCTGATGTTTCAAATTAAAAGCTTAGCAGGAAACTCAGTGGATAATGTCCTTTGAGCCTGTGGAAGCCTTTAACGTAAAACTTCTGTGCAGAAAGTGTTGACTTTTACTGATGGTAGCTTAACACCACTGGAGCCATTGGAATTAGCTGGTGTAGTGAAAACAATACTAACCCTTGATTCACACTGCCTACCTGAGCAGCTGCGCCTGGCACACACCGAGTGTCAGCTGCGTGGCTGCTGCTGCCAGCCCTATCTGTCTATACTGAGTTGGCCTTTGATAAATACCATACAATAAAAGCCTTGTTAACGTATGAATGGATTCTGTCCACATAAACACCAGAGAGATTTTAATCTAAAGGAGGTGTTGCGTTTAAAAAAATAAATGTAAATTTTTTCCATGTCTGTGACACATTCTACAGATATAGACGCTGAAACTGTAGTGAAAGGAGCATAGGTTGCTGGTATAATTACGATATGACCACGAACAGACCATTTTCACTGTCTGTTTCTGCTGGGAACCGCACGCGTCTCACAGAAGAAATAGGCGAGACCTCGACTCTCTAGTGAAGCATCGTAGAGAAGTGTGTGAGATGCGTGACTCAGGCCTGCAGAGGGGCTGCTCTAATCTGCTAATACCGAAATAAAAAGCAAGACATTCTGCCACACTGCTCAGGTAGGCGGTGTGAACGAAATAAGTGTTAAATAGGGAAACTGAGCAGCTGACTGATGAGTAAATAATCAACTTATGTCAAGTGTAAAATACAGATGTGTAGGTACTGTGTGTGCGTGTGTATTCATGTGTGTACAAACTGTCTGTGGCAAAACAAAATCAAAGCTTGAGCATGTAAAGAAAAGTGCTTATTCACCTTCATTAACAGACTGCTAAGACACTTTAGCACCTCAGGGTGCTTTCCAGCAAGATGTATTTTTTTCCTGCTGAGATATTCTGCTTTTAAGTTACTACTTCTAAAACCACCTCAACCTACTTAGTTTATGGGTGTCATTTATCTCTCCCCCGCACGTTAGGAGGAAAAAAGAAAAGCCACCCCCGATGTTTCTGTGAAACTACTAAAACTTTGGATATGACATCCATATTGAGCGCTAATATCTAAGAGCGTGTGCCTAAGAGCAAGAGATGTTCCGCGCTGAGCCGCTTGGCACCCGCAGGTTTATTGAAGAAATATGGAGCCTTAAATCTGCCAAACTACTGCCGCTTTGGCTGTGAGGGGGGAAACAAAGGCAGAGAATTATACCTGCAGGATGGAAAACAACAGAGAGAGGACTGACAATAAGTAGGAGAGAGCAAAGACGGAGACAGACAGGAAGACAGACAGAGAGAGACAGACAAACAGGATAATGATCTCTCTAGACTGCACCCTCCTGAGAGAGAGCGACAGTGAGAGGGAAAGGGTTGCGACAGAGATTTGTTTTTTAGGATGGCGGTGGAGTGCCACTTACTTCTCGATGAGGTCTAACGTCACCCCTGGCACCAACTTGGCACTCTTCTGCATGCAAAACCTGAAAAAACAAACAGAAAAAAGCTGCTGATAAGAGTTGGAGAGAAAACAGGAGGTGCTCACAGACTAGGCCAAGCAATAAAAACGTTTGGCCTGTATTACAGATTTTACGACCTACGAGAGAAACAATCAACAGATAAAACGCTCAAATGAAAAATGAGAGCTTCAAAGATTACAACACTGAGCACTTTGATAAGTGTGTTTTGGCTGAGTTACAGTCAAAGGGGAGGGGGCAGGCAGCGGGAAACACAGAGGCATATTTCTCAAACGTCTGATGTGGGGGTTATTGTTTACTGTGCGTGGTTAGCTCCGACAGGTCGGGCCAGCTGTAAGTCACAGCAGGTTGGCGTTCAGATCCTCGACAGACGCACCGCTCGGCGCTGGAGCTCACTGCGTGTCGTCACACACCTGGAGGAGACCAGGTGTGATTGTGTGTGTGTGTGTGTGTGTGTACACATACGCAAACATCCGTCACACATCAACTGCAGGCAATACTGAATGTGAAAAGCATCTGAGATTACACTGTAAAAAACATTCAGTCACTTTTACATAAAATATTTGTCACTGGGTGCCTTTAAACTTTGAATGACCTCGACCTGTACTCAATAGTGTTTGTTTGATTTGTTCATTAGTTGTTCTACTACTAAACCAGCTAAGTCAACTGAAAGTGTGGGTAATAATTAGGGGTATCTATTGAAATGGAAATATAATATTCATTTGTATATAATCAACTAAAAATAAGATTTGTGTTTTCATTATCTTAGAATGAGCTTTTATCTACAAAGGGAGCGGGTCGTCTTCTTCACCATGTTGTCCATTGGCAGCCAATTGTCTGGCAGCTGTTTGGTGCTGGAAGGTAGCGTAAAATTGTGTTTTTTAGACTGTTTTGCTTACAACAGCCACCTGCTGTTGCTAGAAACTAGACTGACAAGAGACTGAGCCATTGAAGGTTGCAGGCCACAAAACCAAAATGATCAATTTTGAGGGGAACTGAGTTGCTGATTATTCTCTATGGATTTATCAGTACACCTTTCACATTAGTTGTAGTAATTCGATCCATTGTTCATACAAATTATATGATTGGTGCAGCTTCAAGGTGTAAAGAAGTTAGATAGACTTAAGATTCAGCCAACAACAGATTGACTGTTTTGATCTGTTGTTAGGTTAAAATTTCAGTTATGTTTGTGGGTATTTTGTTTGTTTTTTTAACATGTAAAGTAGTTTCAAGTCTGAACCTTCAGGTGCCACACTGCCTCAAGATTACAGCTGTTGGTATACTCTTGGCAGGCAGATTCCAACCAGGATCAGTGTGAGAGAGGGCCATGCGACAGACACATAATGAGCCTTCATCGAGTAGCTTTTTTAAAATTTGAAAGAAGGAACTTCTAATCTAAATGCAGTTCATCCTGGGAACTATGCTAATAAATTAACAATGTAAAAACTGGCAACAACAACTGAATCTTATATGTTTAGGGACTTCTGGACGTTTAGCCAACTCATCATGTTATAGTTGCAAGGTTTTAAGTTATGATTAAAAGTTCTAAAATGATTCTGACTGTAGGAACTATTTGACCTGACCTGAATTTGACACATAAATCAAATTCGAATCAACTTAAAATGATGAGCTGGTTTAATTAATTTGGTTGAATTGTTACGGAATAAAATCAAATGGTCAAAGCTACTCTTTGCTATCAGTCAGTTTTCTCCACAAATAACAGAAACTCATGCCTGGAAGTGAACTTAAGTTCCAAGCAGTTAGAAGTCGATGCATGGATCGGGAATCATATTATGTATCTAACAACTGATCCGCCCTGACTGTGACGTAAGCTATGGCACTCGCATTCAAAGGTTCTTCCTGATGCTGGAGAATAATGAGGTCCCTTATGACACCAGTGTGACTTAGTGTGTCTTTATAGAACAGCACGGGCCCTGAGTGTGCCCAGCACTCAAGGAACAAAGAGGAGGAAGGATGGAACCAGGACAACTTGTCCTAAAGTCTTAATAATCAGGAACTTCTTGAATGCAAGCCATGATTTGCACAATCTGCATTGGTATGTGCCAGCACTTTGCTGTTAGTCAGGAACACAGGTCTATCATTGTTTTGCCAATACAACACAATCCAAGAGTGTTCTGCCTTTACTTTTGCATTTCATTTGAACCACAGAATAAATATTTTGTTTATGATTTGCTGCAAAAAGGATATAGCGAATCCCCTGACACAAACAGAGATGATTAACTAAAAATTTAATCTGGCAGAAACAGACAGACGGGCCAAAGTAAACAGAGCACAGACCAAGCTGGAGGTTGCATCAGGGAGAGCGTGTTTCCACCCAACCTCTGTGTGGGGAGATGTAAAATCCCTCAGGCGTGGGAGACAGGAAAAGGGAGAGATGAGAAAGTAAAGAGGAGGAGAGGAGCATTTGGTCACACCAGTATCTATAGTAATTGTTCCCCACAACCAGCCTCAGAAAAAGCCATGTTCGTGCTCTCAAATGATCAAAAGCAGACTATAACATTCTGATCACGCACTGCGACTAGAAGAAGTGATTCTGTGAGTGCTTATAATCACAGTATATGAACTTGAACCTTGAATGGTTTCCCTCAGGCGTGTTTTTTCTAATACAAAAGTAAGAATCCACCACAACAAGTGAATATCTTTACTGCTTAGCAGAACGTGTGATATTGCTGCAAGAAGATGCAAATGATGTATAAAACGGGTATCAATCTAAGCTACACAGCCAGCAGCTAAACTTCATCCCTGACGAACTCAAGAGGGGTATCAGAAAGGGATGCAGATGTTTCACTCCACACAACTGTGGAGTGCAGCAATCTCACTCAATCCTTATTCTACACAGCAAAGCAGAATTTTAAAAAGTGCATTACACAAGCTGAAACCAGATCATACGTCACTCTGAGGCTGAATAGTTTGAATGAGTCGTAGGGTCAGTGGAGAGAGCTTTTATCAAGGCTTGTGTATTATCTTTTCAAATCTGCCATCGCTCTGGTCTCACCTAAAACTCACTGCTCTTTGAAAAATATCTGCTGAATGCAGTTCATCCAGATGATGCATTCAGCCTAGTATTTGCTAATTAGAGGTGCATTTACACCATCATCAATCAAAGGAAAAACACATCACATCAGGGGTAATGTGAAAGCTAAAACCTCAAAGTAGGACACTAATTCACCTCAGCCATGACACAAGCTCAGAAAATACATCTAAAAAGCATGAGTCAGCCAGAGGTGATGGGGGTAGCTTGCTTTTGATTTTAGACATAAGTATTTCTTTAGACTCAAGAACCAGCTGGACATATGAGATGAGATGTAAGATTTGTTTTAGTGATCAGTTTTGTGTGTAAAGATCACCAATTAGGGCTCTATTTTAATCGCACAAGGGAGTCCGTAAGCCCTGTGAGTGTCTGTAATCTGATGTATCCTGCATAGACAACAGAATACTGAGGTAACAGACCTGTCTGATGTGAGTAGAGGTGGGGTTTCCTTGTAGCAGCCTCATGTCATTTGCATGTGATCTAATGAAGGTAAATGTGGTGGACAGTCATGTGTAATGGCACTGTGCTTCGGTGCTGCACTCTTCTAATCAGAAGCTGCAGATTTATGAACATATGTGTCCTGCTGCCTTTAGATGGCTGCAGAGATTTAATGAACTGAAGGAGAAGCTTTTCATACCGTATGAAGCAGCTGTAGACAGAAATTTATTATTTATTTATAGATCAATGCTAACTGATTTACAGACATTCCTACTTAAATGCATCTATCGGTTAGGGAGTGTTTAATCGAAAGGGTTTTTTGCATATTAAGAATATTTCTATCATCTTCTCTGAGTATTTTGTTTCCTCTTGTTGTCAAAATCATCAGGTTGGCCAGAAGACCAGAAATTGGTTCTGAGACGTCGGCTCTCAGCACAAAGCCTAAGATCATATTTCCACCAAAATGCCAACAACTCGCTCTGTGCTGCCTCATTTTAATGAACCTCCCACCTGTTTGTGCCACGAATGCCTCCAGTACTGAGCACCAAAATACCACACATATGGGCAGAGCAAATTTCAAGGTCAGGGAAATACCAGCGGTCAGAGTGTGGCAATAACAATAGGTCTGTAACTAATGTCACCATGTGGGTAGTTGGGCTTTATGGGTCCGCCATACAAAAGCGTTTAGCTTTGGGTCTGATTGAGAACACGTATCAAGATTTGAAATTGTTTGAAATACTTTGATTACTAACCCCTATGATACACATACCTGGAGGAAACCACAGGACCCCAGATGCAAGTCTAGCATGTGCTGAGCTGTGTATTGGGTCAGTATTAAGCAGACTGTAGCAGACACTTGCTGAGGAGTTGGCTCAGCCTGCTTTGATTTCCACAGAGATTCATCCCTGCTGCCTGATCCTTCCCTAAAGGGCTAAATTGCGGAATTACTCTTAAATTTGCATGGTAGTAAGGGCACAGTTTCCTCCTAAATAATGTTTCTATTCTTTGCAAATGGCCACATTTGGCTTTTTAACTGTTTTAACTTTTAACTGTGTCTGAAATCACTTTAATGCTTTAACTACACCCTATATAATAGACACTAGTTTACTCTATAGTGAGCAGTAAACTGCGATTTCAGACACTTATGAATCATCATTATTTTCCAGCATCATAATGACAACAAAGTGTTAATTTGCATTCTGGTACATGTCACACTAATTTCCATTGAAGGAATTTTTGAGGGTACAATTTAGCACATACATTTTACACATTTGGACACTTGAACAGTGAATATGGAACATTATGGAGCAAATAGAAAGTGATTTCAGACAAAGAGAATGAGGTCTATGACGTTATACTATGTTACAGAAGTGCTCAATGCTAACATCAGCATGCTGACATGCTCACAGTAACAACGTTAACATTATGATGTTAAGCAGTTACCTATTTACAGTTTACGAAAGTTTTTAGCAAGTGCACATGCTAACATTTGCTAATAAGCACTATTAGCACAACA